TAATATAAACCTGTGTTACTATAGAAACGACAACGTATCAGAACAAGCACATTAATATAAACCTGTGATTTGCAGCTGCACTACTGTCAGAGCTGCTGTTATAGAAAATTAATCAACAACAGGAGGTTTTGTCTCACCTGAGCATCCTGCTTGGCCAAAGAAACGTCCACGGTCTCTCTCTCATCACGGTTCCCCTAAAACACAGAGAGGAACAGATTACCCATGATGCACTTCTCTTCATTATATTTGTGAATATTAATCAATCACAGTGTAATTGATAAACGAGTCTCACCTGGCTGAGAGAAACCAGCAGCCTGCGGAAGTGACCCGAGGTGTCATGGATGATGGCGTCCTCCAGAGATTTGCTGTATTCTGGAGAACACACAATCATCTTTATTATCTCCACACACACACACACGCACGCACACATGCTAAGATCATACGCATCCCTGTTATTTCAGTTGTATAGCAAAGACATGCTTGATGTCTTTAGCTTTGTACTGGAGCTATGACGCTAAACTGGAGGCTATTAGCTTCCATTAATTGTTAGCTACATTAGTCTTGCAGGTCCAGTACAGTGTCTACCGCAGTGTATTTGCTGTAAAGTGGACATTGTGTACATTTCATTTTTGTCCAAACATAAGCATGTTATTAATAATTATTTTGAAAAATTATTCTCCTGTTGTGTGGTGGTGTTACAGGCTTATATATATTTTGGGCAGAAATAAATTCTGTCCTTCTCAAAAACCAGAAAACTTTCAATGCTTCATGTATTAATTTCCTTAATCCAATGTGATAATCTGCTAAACTATTACAAAAAAATTGACAATACAATCATATGAAACTTTAATATCGGTTCACTTCATAAGCACGTGTATGTGTGTATGTGTACACTTACCTGCTTTATAAATGCGGTTGATCTCTTGAATCTCTGCGTTAGTGCGAGATGACAGAATCTCAATCAGACATGGTTCATCTGTCCCTGCACCCTGTACACACGCATGTGCACACACACACACACACACACACACACACATACACACACACACACACACACACACACATTAAAGAACTGCTGTCACACATGTGAGGGTTTTGGCTCACTCCCCAGTCCAAAAGTTATGTAAGAAAAAACATATTGTAAAAAGTCCCAACACTCTAACGTCCCATCTGTAATACTCTAACGTCCCATCTATAACACTCTAACACTCTAGCATCCCATCTGTAACACTAT